AAAATATTTTATTTTTAAAGTATGAATTAAAATATTTTTTATCTTTTTTTGTACTATTTTATTAAAACTACATAATTTTAAAATAATTTTCTTGCTAATATTTAAAATGTAAAATTGATAAGTATTATTTTTTATAAAATATTATTAAATATGTATAATATTATGCATAATTTTTTTTACAAACAAACAAATTAGAATAAAATTTATGGATTTCTTGGATTCTCTAATTAAACATCATAGAATAATAACAAGACCACAAATCGAATTGTCGCCAACAAACGAAAACACTCGGGTTGTGTTCAAACTTCAAGCACACGTTTGTTGTCCAAGCCTCTAAGGTCAAACCCCCAACTCCCTCCCTCTCTTAGTTACTACCCACAAACAACCTTCATTCTCTTCGAGCCACACTCCCTCTTGCTTGCCTTCATGCGCTCCGACTTACTCGTTCCCATTCCTCCTTTCTTCCCTTTTCTTTCCCCTTACTTACTTCCGTTGCGCGCTCACCATCCGTCCTCCTTCCTCTTCCTCCTCCTTACCTTAATCCTAGGGTCCTCTTCATTGTTGGGGGTCCTCAGAGAACCTCCAAGGTCAACCTTAGGTTTTATTATCTGTTAAGGAATGATGAAAGTAAGGTTTTTGATTGGGCCAAGGTTGTTTGCAACACAAAAGAGTATGAAATTTGATGACAAAGTTGAAGTTTTGTTGGATGTTAATTATGGGATGAACAACGTTGTTCTGTTAATTTTTATTTTTATTTATTTTTTACTTTGTATTTACTTTGTATTTGGTTTCAAACGCGAAAGTTTTGATCTTTGGGATTAAATTGGTGAGGGATGACGATGCTGTTGCGGTGAAGCTTATGAGGTGTGTTGTGATTGAGTGCTGCAAGCCGGTTTTTGCCTTGACTGTTTCCTCTAGGCGGTTGATTTTGGGCGAGGCAAATGTGGTTAGGATTATAAATTTGAGGGGTCTGGGGAAAGGGAACTTGAGAATAGTTAAACAATGGGTTTCAAAGGAGAAATTACTTCATTTGCCGAATTCTGTGATTCGGGATGGCGATGGCTTTGGTGGATCAATTTCAGATTGCTGACATTAGTTGTTCGGATGGGAAGATTGAAATGCATAATATTTCTGGTGAGTTTTAGGTACTCTTTTTGAGCGTTATTATATTGTTTAAGTGACACTAGGATGAGGTGATTATGTTCAAGCTGTTGGAGTATAAAGTTTACATGTGAACTCCAATGGGGTGGCTTAACGGTTAAGAACTTGAAACTCCAAATTAGAGATCTCAAGTTGGAGTCTTGAGCCGGGTGGGGAGAGATTTGGAAATAGGAGAGGCCTATCTCCTCTTATATAGTCCATAATTAGATGTACCAAAAAAAAAAAGTTTACATGTGAGTGTATGAGAAGTGCATAAGATTGCACATCAATAGGAAACAAGCTGTTAGAATGCAATATATATGTGGAGGCTCATGAACTTGAAAGGCATATTTTTTGGGTTCAATATGTCATCTTCTTATATGTGTTCGACTCCCCAACCCAGGCAATGTAGGAAACTTCTCATATCTCTTTTTGAATAAGAGAACCTTCTTAGATGAGCAAGTTTTATTAGTTTCCCATATGGACAAAGTATGCGTTTGTTGATCTCTTCTCAAATTAAGATATTTGCTTCATTTTGCTGGAATATAAATTACTTGGATATCAGATAGATAGGGCATTCAGTGCAAATGATAGATGTTGACAACACTTTTATTGAAGATGATAGAAGTGTGAATGTGAAAAGGCTAATGCAAATATCAGGTTTCCTTGACTGCCAATTTCATTAGTTCATTGGTTTGATTAGTTACTCATTAATCTGCTCCTGTTGTCTTTGCAAGGCTAAGGTAGAACTACTAGAATAGTTTGCTTCTTAGCAAACTTCTATGTAATTGGGAAAACTTATTTCAAGAGTCACTAAGTTTTGTCTTCGGAAAGTTATTTCTAGAATTACTAATGTTCGTCATATATTAATTGGATCATATGGTTTAGCTCCTAGTTTCCATGCCTTTTTTTTTAATTGAGTTTTTAGTTGGGGTGTTTAATTTATTTTTCCTGTTTCATTTGATAGTTAGTCAAGCAATTTTTTCTAGTGAAAAGATACCCAACATGATACCCACTGGTCCAAGGAGTCTTTTGATACTTGGACAAGGTAATCTCCAGTTTTATACATTTAAAAGTATCATTGTTGAAAGATGCTACTACAAATTGAAATTTCTGATATAAAACATTAGTTTTTATCTAAACAATATTGCACGTGAGAGCAATTTTTTCTTATTAGTACTCCTTCAACCACCTAAATAAAAGATAGAAAGAGAGAGAGAGGGAGAGAGAGAGAAGCTGTCCTGGCAATAACATGTATGCAGTGTAGCCAAAAAATAATATCTTCTTTTTTCCCCCATGGTAAACTAGGAGATTAAGTGTCTATTTATGCTTATTTTTTCTAAGAAAATATGATAGTTATTCTTGGGAACAGTGCAGCGTGATTATCATATGGTTTATGTCTTTGTCTGCCATCATTTACTTGATTGTATGGTTGAATGTAGTTTCATGAAGATATTCTTCTCTTCTACATACCATTTCTAACATTTGAATTTCTTTTGACGTATCTCTGCTTGAGCAGGAAGCTTGTATACAGATGCAATTTCTTGAAGTTTGGCAACATCATTTTTCCTGTGGTGGCCAGCTTTATTGTGATTCTTCCCTATGTGATATTTCCTGATTCCTTTACTGATCTTAGTTATGCTTTTGGAGGACACAATGCTGAGAGCCCTGTTATGTTTTGCTACCTTGGGTGTGTACCTGACCAGTGTTCTAATAAAAGTAAGTCTGTTTGAATAATTTAATAAATCTGTTATGTATTGATTTGTAATGTGCTGATACATGGAGCTCCTCATATTCCGGATTTCAGTTGGCCATTTTCAAGTGCTGCAGTTGTCTTATGTATCTAATGGTGCTTACAACCTTTGAGGTCACTGGGTCTTAAAGGTATGCAGTTCCATGATTTCTGGCTCATAATTTGTTAAATTAAAAGTTGGCACACTCAGATTTAAGCAAGATCCAAGCATTGATTTTCACAATGGTACTAACATTGCATGTGTACATCGATTTTGTAGCATCATGATTTACCATTTTCTTTTCTATTGTTTCCTCTTTTATCAGTTTCATTTTTATCATCAGCCAAACCACAACTATTTTCCTGCCTCATAGGGGAATCACAAGAACAGTCAAATGCCAGTCAAATGGAGTTCTGAATTTTGAAGATGGAATCTGTGGAAGAACTTGAAAGCAACAGATGCTGTGCAGCTGCTTCCAGGGGCCCAAAGACAGATTTGTAGCAGCTGTATAATACGGTTGTTTGTTGCCTTCTACCTGTGATCGCTGTGCAGCTCAAAAGGAATCTCAGTTTGTCAGCCAGAGGACTAAGCCAGCAGCAGTCAATGGTCATGGACTCGTGGTAGTGTGAGAGAGCTTGAGTTGATACTCTGTTGCCACCTAGCACTTGATTTTTATGAAATTCCAAGAATTCAAACAAGTTTTTATAGGTATAGACCTTTAAAATTAAAATGGGGTGGTCCAACCTTACAAACAATTAGCCTCAGTCTGTCTTTTTTTCTGATATTATACAATGTTTAGTCTCATTTGTTTGTGTTTATTTTGAAAGCAGAATGGTTAGTTTGTAAGAGGAAAATTCAGAAGTAATTTTTACTTTGAATAAGTAGTAGTGGGGGTTGGTTTACAATCTCATGTTGGGTTCTGTTTTTTTCTTTTATTTTATTAAGATATCACATTTGAAACTGTAAAGGATAAAAGAAAAGACAAGGCACATGAAAATGAAGGGTGAAATCCTTTTTTTTTTATCCTTAAGAAATAGAAGAGTCATTAATAAAAAACTTGGAAAAGTACAGTCCTGAGAAACATACTTCCCATAATATCAGTGATTCTGTTTCCCATGATGTCAGTAATACAAAGTGTTAAAGGTTTCGGAAGGAAAATCCTAGTGATTGATTCCTTATTCGGTCTAGGTTCATTAAGCTTAATCTCAAAGTTAGAAGACCCTTTGATAAAGCAAAAATACTTTGGAAAAGTCTCTATGAAATGAATCGTGAATTAGCTAGAGTTAATTTGTGAGAAAAAAAGGGCTTAGGCCTAAGCTTTGCTTAAGTTAGAAATAAATAAAAGCTAACAAAAGATCTAATTCAAGCTCTTGTTTCCAAGTGCACTAACAAAAACTTGTAAAATTATAGTCCTTAGAAACTCAATTACCATATTATCAGCAATACAGAAAATTTTAACAGCGAAAATGGCCAAAATCATCAACTTGAGGAAAATGAACTTTAGATTAAAGTGAAGGCAGTGGACCTAAAACCTAGAGAACCTCTCCCTGCCATGAAACCTACATTGCATTCACATCAGACAAAATTATGGCCGTGATGAGCCCCAATTGGGTCCCCCCTGCTTCCAGGATCATGAGGTCCCTGATCCACGTGCACCTGCACATGCACATCGCACACCCTCAGTCAGAGATGGGTCATGGCCAACCAACAAATTGTTGGAGGCACCAAACTTTAAAAAAAAAACAGTCAATTATATTATTTTAAAATATTAATATATGAATTAAAAAAAAAACAGTCAATTATATTATTTTAAAATATTAATATATGAATTAATTTTAATATAATATATAATAAATATTAATTATTTTTAACTGTTAAATTAAATAAAATTAATATTTTTTAAAATTAAAAGTTTTGGTAACCTCAACAATTATTATTAGGTATTAAAAGTTTTGGTAACCTCAACAATTATTATTAGGTGGCTATCACTGTTGCCCCCACAATTACCCCACAATTAACTGTTTTTTTTTTTTCTTT